AGAGGAAKAAAGGAACAAGCTATTTATAGAAATAGAAGGAAGGGGTTAAGAAAGACGGAAATGGATAAAGAAAGAGAAGAAACTTGAGAAGAATGAATGTGAGAAGGGTTCAAGGGCAGATCCAAGGGATGATTAGGGTGGCAAGCCAGTTGATTAGAATTTGGCGGTTATCTGCATATTTTGCAATATATTTTTATAATATATTTTAACATATTTTATAATATATTTTTGCATATAATACCTGATGGTGATGATGGTGACCGTGACAATGTAGAAAGTGGCGATGGGGTAGCTGCAATAMAATAAGAAAAATCTGTACTTAAACTTAATAGAACTCCGGCAATAAATAATGAATTGACAACTATGCAGAAATTGCCAAAAACCATATTTCCAGAATAAAACTGAGGCAGTGCAAAGGTGTGGTTACTTTTTAAGGTGGTGCTCGGACTATGAAGAACACAATTAACTGACAGCAAAATCATGACATTATACATTGCATTTTGTTCATACTTTACAGCAGAAACCGTTGCATCGCGACTTCAATGTTCAAAGGAAATAGTTGGGATTTAGGTTTTTCTGCGACTTGAGGGCAGAGCTCTTGATACAAATCAGCCAATGATTGAACAAGTTTTTGAAAAGCTCCGCCCTTCAGAATATATGACCTTCGGGTTCATAATATCGATACTTCCCTGCATTTCGTTAATAAGTTTCCGCATTGTGAAAAAATTAAGCTGAGTAATGTAAATATGTAAACATAGCAACAATCCATGTCTGCATGATTYCCAAAATTTTCGGCTTTCGCTCTTTTGAAATAAAGATCCTTTTACATGCAGAACTGCAGTTTTTAGATGCATGGCGTGAAATTTCTACATCGTTTAGGAAGTTTATTATTGACATTAGTGTGTTGAAATTGTTGTATAACTTAAACCAAAACTACATAATCTTTTTAACACGTTCTGTCAAAAATTACATGCAGCATTCTTCACTATGAAAAGGAAGGTTACTAGTCAATATTTTTGGTAACATTGAAGACTTCAAATTTCACTAAATATTTWATTAAATTTTTATACTGACAGAAATTTAGAGGGATATATGACATGACCTGATCACTGCGATGTAGCGTTGCTTCGCAATTGTCTTATATAAAATTTGGATGAACTTCGCATGTATAAGTGCATCAAATAATTCACAATTAACCAATCTACTTACTGTTTGTGCTGTTAGTACTGCTGCTAGTGGTTATTRAGCAGTTTGATTTGTTGATTAATCCCAAGACCAGCGCAATAGCAAAAGAACAACACACACGGCGAGTAAACAAATCTGTTTTAAATATACCGTTCTTCATGTTGAACACGGAAGGCAACGCAACAAAACGCCTGGAAAACCTACAAAAACAAAGGAAAACACACAAGAAATTTAGCCTTTTATAATACAATGATAATTCTTGCGAATCGTTGATTCCAGAGAAGTAAAAGAGTTTTAATACCATGCGTTACAAAATGCATTTACAAACTCAACACGTTTAACGCTAAAATGTGAATTTCCCTTGCCTATTCGCCATAGAAGTGCGACATACAGTAAAATGGATCGGATTTTAGACGTTTTGCTTACCAAATTACAACCAAAGTCGATATTTCCCACGATTACCTCAGTCTCTACAAGACTACAACTCTAGTCCTCAAAAATTATGGCGAGTGGCTTGATTGGGAAATACGATACTTCAAGTCCAAGCGTGTAATTTGACACTAAATTTCTTTGCTCTTTGTGGTTGGTTCAAAATCAAAAACCCGGAACTTGTAAAACGGTGCGAGTAATAAAACTGTATCAAGTGCAGCACGTAAGCAATATTTACTCCTTGTTTTCGTCGCGGACTCTAGAATATYATAGACTTGGACCTCCCCGAGCAAATAGATTGATGTGTTAGCTCTTTTTGACCGACCTCAATAAAGATCCTAAAGCGACCGCCAAGGTATATAGTCCGAGATGCGAAGACTCTTTGTTTTTGTTTTTTTTTTCATTTTTTTTCTTTGTTTTTCTTTTGTTGCTGTTATGTTCGTAATGTGATGCTTTAACTCCGTGCTTGGTACAAATTGTTAAAAAAAACGTGAGTTAAAGACTTGTGAAAAAACATTTTTAAATGTTTTAAAAAGGAAAAAAAATGACAACATTTAAATCAATCGGTTTTTTTTGGGGGGGAGGGGGGGGATCAATGCCCACGAAATGTACATGTTCCAATTTTCGCAAAATTAAATGGCCAGGAAAATTCGTGCGAATAACTTATGCCTTGAAGTCATCTCGAATATTGATTGAACATTGTATCCTCACGCAACTCACTTATTCAGCTCCCTACATACAGATCAGAGAACTAAAGGTCCACAAAGCTAGTGCTTTGAATGAATATTCAGAAGGAGCCGACGTCGTCTGTTCTTCTAAATAACTGTTCTTATACATTTTTTTCCTGGAAAAGGGAGTTTGAACTAGAATTTTGACAAACAATGTGGTGACCTTCCAGACTGGGAAAAACTCTCTCTTCGGCTCGCTAAAGCACTCGAGTATTTAAAAGATATTTATGATTTTCCTTCCTGCAATGGACGTTTCCTGGGAAAAATTCTTTGCACCTATTCCTCTCCTGGAATAAAAAAAAAATATTGTCATTTTGCTGGCAACCAGTTGTGACTTACAGCTGGCTGGGACATAGGAACAGATATATTTTCTCCCAGGAAACCGTCGACTCCTCTTGAACATTTTTCAATATCACTAAACTCTAAAATAATTTCATTCTCTTTCATTTGGAAATCATTTTGAGCTATTTTATGCCATTTATCGCTATTGCTATAGTTGATATAACTCGCTCTAAAAAGAAGGGAAGGTA